ACCAAAAAGAATTCAATTATTTTAAAAAAATTTTATTAAAATTGTAAGCAAACATTTAATTATTTTCATAAATAATAAAAATTTCACAGGAATTCAATTATTTACAAATTTTTTTTATAAATTCCTTCGCAATTTTCATAAATAATAAAAATTTCACAGGAATTCAATTATTTAAAAAATTTTTATAATTTTTTTAAGGAATTCAATTTTTTTCATAATTAATAATTATTTTATTAATTATAAAAAAAAATTTTTTATTTTTTTTAATAATTATTATTTCGTAATAATTTAATTATTTTCATAAATAATAAAATTCTTTGCAGAAATTCAGATTTTTTTCTAAAGTTTTAACAAAATTCTTCGCAATAATTCAATTATTTTCAAAAATAATAAAAAATTTTTTTAAGGAATTCAATTTTTTTCATAATTAATAAATATTTTGTAATAATTTAATTATTTTCATAAATAATAAAATTCTTCGCAGAAATTCAATTTTTTTTCTAAAGTTTTAACAAAATTCTTCGCAAGAATCCAATTTTTTCAAAATCAGAATTAAAAAAAAATTAATTCTTCGAAAAAATTCAATTATTTTGTTAAAACTTTAATAAAATTACTGCATGAATTAAATTATTTTTTAAACTAAAAATAAAAGATATAAATTTTTTGCAGAAATTCAATTTTTATAAAATGTTTCTTAAGAATTCAATTTTTTTTAATAAATAATAAAATTTTTAACGGAATTTCAATTTTTTTTTACAAAATTTCAAGAAATTCTTAGCTGGACAGCAATTTTTTTTTATAAAAGAATAAAATTCTTTACAGAGTGTTAATTAAATTCTTTGAAAAAATTTAATTATTTTCATAATAAAATTTTTAGCAAGAATTAAATTATTTTTTTAATATTTTTGTTATTCTTAATTATTTTTATTATTTGTTATTCTTAATTATTCTTTTAATATTCTTTGAATCTATTTTTGTATCTTCGGATTTTATTTTCTTTATTAAATTTTTTAAACAATAGAATCAATAGAAAAATTAAAGGCCAATAGGAATGAGGGGGAGTCAATTGTTTAAAAAATTTAATAAATACAAATAAAATTTTATTTGAATTAAGTAATATTTATTTGAAACAAATAAAAAATTTAATGAAACTGAAGTTACCAGTTGACTCTGAGTTAAATATTCCTTTTTTCTGGGTGTATTATAGAATTTATATTTTTATTATAAAAAATAATCCAAATTATTTATTACTTGAAATAAATTATTTAGTATCAATAACATTTTATTTACTAAAAATTACAATTTCTTCGGGTTTTTATTCTTTTCAAACCATTTTTTTCGTTAAACCGCAAACATTTTTGTTTATTGCAAACAATCCTCGATAGTGATGTAAGCCATCGATTATATTTCAAATTCCAACCTGAAAGGGATATCCATTTATTGAAGGGAGTATTTTTTTTTACTTAAAAGAGCGTCAAATATTTGACAATATTTTCAATATCCGCCACTTTGGTCGAAGATTACAAAGGGAGGTTGGGAAGAAGAAGAGAGAAAGAGAGAGAGAGAAAAAAACGTACATATTGGAAGAATTCCTTTTGTGTGGCATTAGATCTTTTCGATGTCTAGGATGTATATTTTCACTAGAGTGCCTAAGGTGGTGTCATATTGCACATATTCTCAGAACAAAAAAAAAAAAAAAATCTTGCGTTTTTAAGATGATAGAATTTAGAGAGAGCAATAGTGTTGTGCAGATCAGTCGACTGTATATAAGTATTTTTCTTTCCTCGATCCGCGAACATTAGAACGATAGTTATCTAAATGGAAAAATTGTATTCAATCGAAAATGAATGCATAATAAAATACTTCAGGTAGTTGGCTACCCATATAATCAAGGTTTAATGTTGGTAATCTGATCCTTGAGCGCATCAATATTTTTTTTTTCCTTCATAAAGCGTTCACCCTCGAAAATGAAACTGTCAACTTTTCATCTATACCAGTAGAATTTACCCTCGAGTTTTTATTTTCCAGAGATTAACCGGATTAATCCATTTTTCGAAATGATAAATTTTGGGAATAATAAAGCACGACACATTTTAAGTAATATTAATTTCTTTTTATAGTAAATATTTAATTTTATTTATTTCTACAGTCGAACCTGTACGAATGCAACTCTTAAAAAATTTTTTTGTATTCAAAAATGTCGAACTAAAATTAGTTTCACTTAGTTTCAGAATATTGTAAAAAAATACAATAAATTACACAATTAAATTATAAACTGACTCTTATTTGATCGAATATATTAATTCAATCTTAATCCTACTGTTTAATTTTTTCGCTTGAGAATTTTTATAATAAATTATTTATTTATTTTGAATACAAATTTTATTTTGCAAAAGTAAAATTTGTTTTAGAACCAAATACAATTTATTTAAAGCAAGTACACTGAAAAAATAATTTATTTGTTTTAACTAACCATGTACTTGTCTATTAATTATCAAATCGTAAATATTTACCTAAATAAAATAATTGTTATTTGAATCAAATAAATTTTTTTCAGTGGGAAATTTTTATTTCAATCAAATAAATTTATTTTAAATGTAAAATATTTATTTGAATCAAATATTATAATTTATTTAAAACAAATAAAATTTTTGTCTTTTTCTGGATATAATATTTGTCTCAGAATTTACTAAATCATTTATTTAGTTCAATAAAATTTAAGAACTTATTTGACACAAATAAAAAATTTCTTTGCTTTAAATAAAATCTTATTTATTATTTTTTCTTATTTGTTAATTATTTTTTCTTACTTATTAATTATTTTTTTGTGCCAAATAAATTTTTATTTGAAAAAAATAAAATGCTTTCTTTACCAAAAATTCCCTCTGACAAATATAAAATCATTATTTTGTCTTCAAAGTTTATGAAAATTATAAAACTTATTTTTTTTTAATAAAAAAATTTATTATTCGTTTCAAGCAAAAAACTTAATCGTTTCAAGTAAAAAATTTATGTGTTTCTAGTAAAAAATTTCTTTCTTTCAAGTAAAAACTTATTTGTTTCAAATAAAAACTTCTTTGACACATAAAATTTATTTGTTTAAATAAAAATTAATTTCTCAGAAAGAAGAACTTATTTTGTTCTAATAAAAAAATCTGTCTTACATAAAAAATTTATACTAAAGAAAGAAAATATTTCTTTGGCAAAGAAAATTATTACCTAAATTAAAAAAAAATTTTATATGAAACAAATAAATTAGTAAACAATAAAAGCAAATAAATCAATTTTTTTTATACCCTCACCCTTGGTGTGGAACTGTCAATTTTTCCCTGTACCAGCAGAATCTATTCTTACGATTTTATTTTCTATTAATATTGTTAGTAAATAAAAAAAAATTCTAAAAATCCGTTAAATTTTTTATTGTGTTTAAATTATAAATTATTTGACTTCAAACTTTATTCATATTATAAAAAAAGCTTTCTTTGTGTATATGAACATTTTCCGTTGTCTTAAAAAAATATTTCACTCGAAAAAATAAAATTTTTTTACAAATTATAAATAAATTTTTTTGAATTAATCGAATAGTTTTCATAAAAAAATTTTTAATTTAAAATAAAATGAGTTTAGAAATTTTTGAAAATATTCTATATTCCATCCTGATGTATTAGAATCTCCATCTGTTGGGAAAACTTTGAACTTGTTGCTTAGGAGGGTTGAAAAATCGGTTCCTAGATGGGGTGCTAATCCAGAGAAAAAAAAATCTACCAGCTACCCTTAATTAGTATTGCCCCTAATTAACAATAGAATATTATTATTATCGTCATTTTTATGAATCAAAATGTTTTTTTTTTAAATTATTATTATTAACATTTTTTTTTATAATTAAAATTATGTTAATTTATTTCTAATTCTACATGCTTTTATTAATTTATCACCTATATTAATTAATATTAACAATAATAGTATTAATATACTGAACAAAATTTTATTTTATTCAAATAAACAATTATTTGTCTATTATTATCAAATAAATATTTACCAGTGCCAATTATTTTTTATTTGAGTAAATTAAATTGTTTTTGCTTTAAATACTGAAATTCTTTGTTCAAATCTAATTTTATTTAAATTAAAAAAAAATTATTCGAATCAAGTAAATATTTAATTGATAACAGACTAGTAATTATAGTAATAATAATAAGGAATAAATAAAGAAAAGTAATAATTTTTTTCAGTGAAGTAATAATAAAAGTAATAGGAATAATAATAATTAAAAAGATAATTGTTAATTAACAATAGTAATTAATAGAAAAATAGTTATAATAATAATAATAATTAAAATTGTAATAATAAATTAACAATAATAGTTATAATTTATTTATTCAGATTCAGACGGGAAGTAAATTCTATGAAAACTATAATTTGAAATAATGGTTATTATACTAATTACCAAAAAAAATTAATAATAATAGTATTGACAATAAAAAAATAAAAAATTGCAATTAAGTGATAACAAGCAATTTATAAACATTATTATTTTCAGCGTTATTTTTGTTTATATTTACTTACATAATTTTACGAGATTAAAATATTTAAATGTAACAATTTTAATACTTTGCATAATAAGACAGTAAAGAACTTTATTTGCATGAAAAATAAGCAATTTCAAAAGTAAACCAATTTGTCTTGAAAAAATTTCTAGCAATATAAAATAAAATTATATAATAACTCAAATTCTATTTTATTTTAATTATAGTGCTAATTATTTTAATTTTAAATATTTAAAGTTTTTAAGTAAATCAAATTTTTAATTATTAAATTTTTATCAAAAATCATTTTTTAAAATTATTTTCTGTGGAATAATGGACCAAGTCATATGTTTTCCATTATTTTCCACATCAAATTAATTATTTGTATTCGAAAAACAATTTTTTTTAATTCAAAATAGAATTATTTTTTTTTATATTAAAGAGAAAAATTAATTGAAAATTTTTTTGTTTCAGAACTCCGCAAGGAAGGAATCGTGACAGGAGAGGAATACAGAGAGAGGATTGTAAATAAATAAGGTAAGTCAATTTATTTATCAAAAAACACACAATTTTATTAATTAATGAATAATAATTATAAAAGTGCTGATCAAGACGATAAAATAATGGTACACACATAATATTATTATTATTATAAAATTAAAAAAAAATTGGATCATGCTGTCCAATTTTTCGTAGACAAAAAGAGACAAAACGCTGCGTTACTAAAAATTAATCACTGGGTGCAAAATAATATGTGAATATTATATAAAATAATAATCGATGTGAAAAAACAATATATAGTGTCTATTAATTACAATATTATTGTAATTAAAAATGTTGAATTAATTTTGATAAAAACTAATTTCGATTACAATTTTTTTTTTAAGTATAATAATTTTTTTTTCCGATCAGAATGATATAGTAATCAAATTCTGTTCGTTTTATTAATTATCTATGTATCACAAAGCATCGCTCGAGCTTTTGTTTATTTTCTAAAATCTAACTTACAATTTTTTGTTTAAACTATTTTTTTTATTTTTTTTAACACTACGATTTTTTTCTTCTTTTTTTTTGTTCATGGTTTCACAAAAAATTAATTCTAGTATTGCAATTAAATCCCTGATTATCCTATTGGAAGACGTCGATATAAAATAATATAATTTTTAAATTAAAGCATTCGATGATGTTTTAATTTATCACAGTTTGAAAAATTAGACGATCAGCATATTTTTTGTTGTAGCTTTTGTAAATTTTTATTATGGAATTTTGCAATTATTATTAAAGAAATAGTTATTTATTTATTTTATTTAAAAATTATGGAAACAATTTTTTTTGTGAATTAAAAGAATATAAAAATATGCTGATCTTTAACAATAGTTTTTAACAAATATCACAGTTTTAATATGAGATCACAATGCAAATCGGAAAAATTCTTTTCGATAAGCAACTAATTAACAATATTTTGAGATCACAGTTTTACGAAATTGTTAACAATTAACGTACATAGAATTTTTTTAAAAAACTTAACAACAAGTAACGAGAAACAAAGTAAAATTTTCTATTCTAAATTCAAAATTATAACAAAAACAAATTATGAAATTAGAATTGAAATAATAAAAATTTTCGAAAAATTAAAAGAGCCAAATAAAAAACAATTGTCAACGAATTTTAAACAAGAAACAATTTAAACAAATTTAAAAATATGAAACAATTTTCAAAAAGAAAAGCAAGCAAATGAACAAAACAACAAAAAAAAACAAACAAAAAAAAATTAAAAGAAGCAAATTAAAAACAATTGCAAACAAATTGAAAACAAAAAATTTAAACAATTAAAAAAAACAAAAGAAGAAACAAATTAACAAACTATGAAAATAAATTTGAAAAATTGAAACGAATTTGAAAAACTGAAACAAATTTAAAAAACAAAAAATCACATTGAAAAAGAATTTTTTAAAATTGAAAAACAAAAATTTAAAAACGGAAAATTGTTTCAAAATGTTTTTAACAATTTTTAATCAAACTTAATAGTGAAATAACAATAACAAAATCAAAACTTAATAAAGTAACATTAATAAAACTTTCGAATCATGAAATTTAATATCAAAAAATTTAACCAAAACATAATTTTTGAAACCAAATTCCACTTAATTGAAATTTAAGAAAATAATTAACTTTTTGAGTTTACATAACAAATTAAAAACAAATAAAATTTTTCTCATGACACTTAACGCCAAAAGAACAATAATAAAACTTTATCAAAATTAACCTTCAAATACAAAATTTAGAAACAAAACAAATTTCTTTTCATAATATAAAATTAAAATCAAAACTTAATATTGAATTAATAAAATTTTCAATCAAATGAAAACAAAAATTGTTGGAAGACAATGATGAAACAGAAAAAATAACAAAACAATAACAACTTGAGATCACAGTTTCAAAAAGTAAAAAACAAATTGCACATAAACAAATAACCTGCATAAAATTTTGTTTTTATCTATAAAAACAAAACATATATATGTTTATAATTTTATATAAAATCTGGTCGATCACAGAAATTCATATTAAAAAATATGCACTGGGCGGCCTATTCTTCGAACATAATATTATGTTCAAAATTATTCCTAATTCTGCTTAACTATTATCACAAAAAGCAGTCAAATTCTCTCTTTCTAAAAAAAAACAAGTTTTCCCATTTTACAAAAACGAAATTTTCTTTAATTTATAAAGATTTCTTTAAATCTTTATGAAATTTATAAAAATTTTGTTTATAAACTATTAAAGAAACAATTTCGTACAATTTTTTACCTTTTTCAAACAGGAAAAATTAAAAATTCTCTAACAAAAATAATCTCTTTTTATTGAACTTACTTTTTCCCCCTTAAAATAAAAAAATTTCTCTATTTTTTCCAAAAAAAAAATCAAACTTTTTTTTCTCAAAAAAAGAGAATTTTGTGAAACCAGAAGATGTTTTTTTTTTGTTGTTCTATTAGTAAAAATCGTAGTGTAACTTAAAATTTAAACATTCAAGAAAAAATATTTAAATCGTACATTAAAGCAAAATGTTCAAATTTAAACATTTAATATCAAATATTTAGCCTCGAGCTAAAATTAAATCTAAAATAAAAACTACAAAAATTGAATAAAATACGAGATCAAAAAAAAAATTACAATCTAAACTTAAAGCTCTTAACCAGAAGTTGTCGGGCATCTTATAAATTACAAGTTTATAGTAAATTTAAAAAAGAAATTTTTTAAATTGACAAATAAAGAAAAAATTGTGCACAATAGTAAAATTAAAAGTCAAAAATTGATTTTTTTTGAAATTAATAATCGTGAATTCTTACTGGAAAAATCTGTCATCTTGAGTTATTGATGACAGCTTGGATCCGGAACGGTCGAATTTCTCGATGATTGGCGTTGTCAGTCGTCATCTCCAAATCGGGAAACTTGATCGTCGATGACTCGAAGTTTTCAATCCTCCAAGTGATCGTTGTCAGTCTTCAATCAGCCCCATCACTCCATTTGTTACTCCTCCGAAGAAAATAATTTTCAGTCAATCGAAAATTTGATGCTTCTTCTGATCAAAAAAAAGATTTTTTTCTGATCACAGGTTCTGAAGTTGTTGATTTCTCGGTTTCTTCAAAGATGGTTTGAAGAAAAATTGATGATTGTCGGAAAGTAAATTTTCCACAAAGTTGATGATTGTAGAAAAATCGTTTCCACAAAGTTGATGATTGTAGAAAAATCGTTTCCACAAAGTTGATGATTGCAGAAAAATCTTTTCCACAAAGTTGATGATTGCAGAAAAATATTTCCCACAAAGTTGATGATTGGATGAACTTGCAGATATTTCAATGAAACGTTTGGTTTTTTATTAAAACGGTTCGTATTTCAACAAAGTCGTGGATTTTTGTTTGATCACAAAAAAGTTGATTCAATTCATTGAAGTTGCTTCAATTCTTCTTGGCGTTTGATGAAAGTTGTTGTCATCAACAGTAGTAGCTGTCAGCAGTGGCACTTGTTGACAGGAAACCATGGTCAATTCCCTCAATTCATTCTCGAAATTTTCATTGTCAAATTTCCAGATATCCTCCAAATTGAAGGTCATCTTCTTGCTCCGGCTCCTCGCATTTCTTCTCCTCCTTTCCAGGAAGCAATGCGCCCTCAGAAGGGAAGATTTGACGAATTTCTTCGCTGACATTTTGCCTGTCACTCCCAGCATTATTCGAATAAAAAGAAAAAAAGAAAAATCTTTTTTTACTCTTATCACTTTTTTGTAAAATGTTTCGAATCACAAATACTGTTTTGGACACTGTTTGTTGCGAAAGGGAGAGAGAGGAGAGAGAGGAAGAGAGAGAGAAGTACACGTGCGAACTTGTAGCACGAGGACTTGAACTGGTTGGTTTTTTTTTTCACGTGTGTAACGCACGTTCGAGTGGGTGTGATTGAATGCGGAATGGGATGAAAGCCATCGACTTATATAGCTGAGGGTGGCGCATGCGCTGCGCGCGACGCGTTTCTTTTCTGAAGCGTGCAGGACACAAGCTTATACGTTTTCCAGTGCACAGGTATATAGTGTGGGCAACTTTTTAAAAGAAACCCCCCCTCTGGCCCCCTTCTTCTTCTACTTCTTCTTCTCTCCCTTTTCATGTATACACACACTGAGGCGAAAGCATATTATATACATGTTGAGAAAAAGGGGATAAAAAGCTGAGTAACTTTAGTAGCCAGTGGAAGGTTGAGCGTCCAACAATTGACGATTATAGAAATTTATGCTTCAAACCGCTTTTTTTCTCTTCAACTTTTTTTCTCACCCCCACAAAAGAGAGGAAAATTGTCACTGAAGAGGACTTTTCAGTGGCAAATTTTCTTCTATTCGAGATTCTTCATGTGTGCTCGATTGTATTTTGCGACATTTATCCCTAAATTTGTTTGTCTAGATTTTTTGTATTCTAAAAATATTGTTTTTTTAATGTTCCAAATTGATTTTTTTATTCTTTAAATTGGATTTTTGTTTCCTAAGTTGGTTATTTATTGTCCGAAATGGTTTTTAACTTTCCAAACCGATTTTTAGATTTTTAAGTTGGTTTTTAATTTTCCAAACCGATTTTTAGATTTTTAAACTGGTTTCTTATTTTCAAAATTGGATTTTCATTCCCAAAGTTGGTTAATTATTTTCCGAAGTGGTTTTTAATTTTCCAAATTGATCTTTATTTTTTTTATTAGTTTTTTATTTTCCTAAATGGTTCTTAATTTTCCAAACCTATTTTCAGATTTTTAAGTTGGTTTTTTATTTTCCCAATTGGTTATTTATTTTCCGAAATGGTTTTCAATTTTTCAAACCAGTTTTTAGATTCTAAGTTGGTTTTTTATTTTCTAAATTGGATTTTAATTTTCTAAATTGGTTATTTATATTCCTAATTCGTTTTTGATTTTCGACACTGATTTTTACTTTTTTAAGTTGGTTCTTTATTTACCCAATTTGAATTTTTGTTTTTAAAGTTGATTTTTATTTTCCAAATTGGATTTTAATAATTTTCAAAATTGGATTTCCATTCCCAAAGTTGGTTATTAATTTTCCGAAGTGGTTTTTAATTTTTTAAATTGATTTTTATTTTTTTTAATTAGTTTTTTATTTTCCTAAATAGTTCTTAATTTTCCAAACCGATTTTTAGATTTTTAAGTTGGTGTTTTATTTTCCAAATTGTTTTTTACTTTCCGAAATGGTTTTCAATTTTTCAAACCAATTTTGATACTTTTAAGTTGGTTTTTTATTTTCCAATTTGGATTTTTGTTTTTAAAGTTGTTTTTTTATTTTCCAAATTGAATTTTAATTTTCTAAATTGGATTTTCATTCCCAAAATTGGTTATTTATTTTTCAAAGTGGTTTTTAATTTTCCAAATAGATTTTTTTTCAACTAGTTTTTTATTTTCCTAAATGGTTCTTCATTTTACAAACCGATTTTAAGATTTTTAAATTGGTTTTCTATTTTCCAAACAAATTTTTAGACTTTTAATTTTAAGTTGGTTTTTTATTTTCCAAATTGGATTTTAATTTTCTAAACTGGTTATTTATATTCCGAATTGGTTTTTAATTTTCCAAATTGGTTTTTATTTTTTTTAGTTAGTTTTTTATTTTCCAAATAAAAATAGTAAACGAATGGTAATAGAAATGGAAACAGTAAAAGGTAGTAGAAAATATTAAAAAATAGTAAAATGTATCAAAAATAGTAAAAAAAAATAGTGAAAATAGTAAAGAATTGTGAGAAAAAGTAGAAAATAGTTTTAAAAAAGGCAAAAAACAATATTAGAAGAATATTAATTATTTAATAAAAATAGTAAGAATTGTAAGAGTAGCAAAAAATAATGGTTGAAGAATAGAAACGATAACAAAAAAAAAAATTCTAAATTCTAAAATTATCAAAATTTAGCTTCATTATTTTTGTGCTCTTCAAAAACACTTTACTTGTTTAATAGTCTCCACCCTTTGGTAAAAAATCTAAAATTATCAAAAATTCGAAAAACCGAATTTCTTAAAATTCAACATTTTTTCCTCTATTTTATGGGATTTAGCTTCATTATTTTTGTGCTCTTGGAAAATACTTTACTTATTTAATAGTCTCGACTCTTTGGTAAAAAAATCTAAAATTATCGAAAATTATCAAAAATTCAAAAAACCGAATTTCTAAAAATTCAACATTTTCTCCTCTATTTTATGGGATTTAGCTTCATTATTATTTGAATTTCTATTCAAGAGAAAAAATGGAAAACAAGAAAAATTTAGAAACTTTTAAAAATTCCAGGCGTCTTCCATGATTTCCCCGATTTCCAGAAGCATTTTAAAAATTCCATACCATTTCCATGATTTCCAGATTCTGTAGAAACCCTGTTATAGTAAAAAAAATTCTAAAAATTAGTAAAAATTGTAAGAATAGCAAAAAGTAACAAGAGTAGGATGGTAATAATAATAAAAATCGTAAAAATAGTGAGAAGAGAATGGTCAAAAATAGTAAAATAATAATATTAACAAACACTGTAAAAATAGTAACAATAATAAAAATAGTAAAAAAAAAGGGAAAATAGTAAAGAATAGTAAAAAATAGTGGAAATAGTAAAGAATAGTAAAAATAGTATCTATATAAAAAATGGTAGAATAGTAAAAAAAAAGTGAAAATAGTAAAGAATAGTAAAAATAGTATCTAATATAGAAAAACATACTAGAATAGTAATAAATAGTTAAAATCGTAAAGAATAGTAAAAATAGTATCTATAGAAAAAATACTAGAATAGTAAAAAATAGTAAAAATAGTATCTATAGAAAAAATACTAGATCAGTAAAAAATAGTGAAAATAGTAAAGATTAGTGAAAATAGTAAGAATAGTAAAGACATAAAATCAATAAGACTAATAAAATAATATCATATAAAGTTATAAATAATAAAACTCATTTTACATTATTCATAGTTAATAACAGTTTATAATAAGTAATTAATTATAAAAAAAAAAAATTTTTTTAATTACAATTTACTCGTATCGCATAAAAGCGCGCTCGGTGCGCGATACATGCGCATATTATAAATGTATTTTGTATACACATATAGAATTTTATGCAAGCGTTGAAATCGTGCTCCGGCTACCTGGTTTGACTTGTAAGTAGAAATGGTCGGTGCACGTGTACGACACACGCACATGCGCACAGCGCGAGGTAAATCCATATATGAGCAGAAAACAGTATAGTATAGTAGTGTATAATATGGGAAAAAAAGCCGTTTGAAAACGGGGTTCGTGAAGCGCGTTGGAGCGAGCGCGCGCGCAGCACGAGCAGCGCACGGTAGCTGACGCATGCGCGGCGCATGCCGTCTTCTCTCTCAGAGTGGGACAACACGTGGTTGATCACGTGCTAAATGAGACCGAGAGGAAAAAAAGAGGATAAAGGAAGCACGAAGGAGAGAGAAAGATGACGCTCGGCTTGTGCTCGAAGCGAGCGTCTTTCCCTCTCTTTCTCTCCTCTTTTTCTCTCTTTCTCTCCTCTTTTTCTCTCTTTCTTTATTCATCTTTTTTTCCTCTTTTTCTCTCTTTACTCTTCTAGTGAGAGAGGAAATAAGAGAGAGTGAGAGAGAGAGAGAAAATATGTAAAACTTGAGCGCAGTGAAAGGGACGGAACGATGATAGTCGATCCTTGGTTAGAAGAAGACAAGAGTCTATTGAAACAGCAGAGAGGGAAATAGAAAAAGAAGGAGCAAAATAGAGCGGAACGAATGAAAGAGTTCGTGTTGTATATTTTTATTTTTTTTTCAATAAATTAATCTTCGATTTTAAGTATTTCTTTTTTCTCCTTCTATTGTCTGACTTAGCGGTTTATATTACCACTTGTTTAGTAAATTCTCCTCTTTTTTCTATCCATTTCTATCTAATAACTTTTGATAGTGATCGAAACTTAAATTAATAAATTAAAATGCTAATTAATTCATTAAATTATATAAATTATAATATTTTATTACAATTATTCGATTCTGAATTATAGATTTTTTATTCTGTACAATATAATAGTGATTATTATTAATAATAATCGTTGTATTCCGGTAATCTGTACACAGTTTAAAGTTAGTTGTTGAATTCTTTTTTATTTCCTAACTTTTCAAAGAAATTTTTAAAAAATATTTTTAATTTTAAAATTAGTGTTTTAAAAATAATTGAATTCCTGTCGAAATAATTGAATTCTTGTGAATGAATTTTATCGAGAAATTTTGCATTAAAATTGTATTGAAAATAATTGAATTGTCGCGAAGAATTTTCATTATGAAAATAATTGAATTCTTGTTAAGAATTTTATTAAAATTTTTGAAAATATTTTCATTGTTTTGAAGAATTTCTTTGAATTTTTTTTTTTTAAATAATGAAGTTTTTCTTTAACAATTTTAATTGATGAAAGTAATTAAATTTTGTGAAGAATTTAATTCAAATTTTTTAAATAATCGTGTTTGTTAATAATTGTAACTAAACATTTTATAAATGAATTTTATTGAAAATTGTTTAAAAGAATTGAATTTCTTCGAAGAATTTCTTTAAATTTTTTGAAAATAATATTTTTTCTTTTACAATAATTTACTTTGAAAATTGTAAAAATAATGGAATTTTACGAAGATTTTCTTTTCATCTTCTTAAAATAATCGTGAATATTAATATATATAGTTATAATTAAAAATTTTATTATTGAATTTTATCGAAATTTTTTGAAAATAATTCAATTTTTTCCAGAAATTTATTACCTAAATTTTTTGAAAATAATTTAATTCTTTGCACAGAAATTTTATTAAAGTTTTCAAAGTAATAAATTGAATTTTTTGAAGAATATTTCTTTCAAGTTTTTAAAATAATTGTGTTGGTAAATAAATGTATTGAAAATAATTGAATTTCTGTGAAGCTCTTTTTTCTTTGTATTAATTCAATTATTTTCTGTGCAATTTTTTTTAAATTTTTTGTTTTTTTATTTATGAAAATAATTGAATTCTTGCAAAGCACTTTATTTATATTTATAACAGTAATTGAATTCTTGTGAAGAATTTTATTAAAATTTTTAAAAATAATTGAATTTTTTCCAAGAATTTTATAAAAAATTTTGATAGTAATAAATAATAAAAATAAAAATTGATTATGGATAGTTAATAATTAAATTTTTTAAGATTTTGACTTTAAGATTAATGAAAAATTTTGTTATTTGCATAATAATAAATTGAATTTATTTGCTATAGAATATACCAAGAGGAAAATTTTATTTAAACCAAATATAATTTATTTAAGTTGAATAAAGGTACATTTGTCTCAGAATCTATACTAATTATTATTTATTTGTTTTAAATAAAAATATATTTCGGCATAAATAGAAATTTTATTTGTATACAAATATTTATTTGGTATACCAAATATATTCAATGACCTCTGATTCAAATATAATCTTTTTTCTGGATGTTATAATAACATAATTAAATAAAGATATAATAATTAATAATATAATAAAATAAATATGTAATCATAATAACAATAATAACATTAAGATTAATAAAAATATTGAATTTTTGCACTATTTCGATTGCGTAATGCAGCGCGAATTACGTTTGAGCTGGGCTGGTTGCCTATTGATGGGCGTTTATATTCCTCTGGACGTGAATAAATTTTATATCAATTATGATCTCGATTTTTGTTTCGTAATTTTGATTTTTATTTCATTCAACTTCCTTTCTTGCAACCTTTGGAAATTTCCAAGAGAGACTTTAATTTATAAAGCCGAGTATAGAGCTTTTCTTCATGCTTTCAACTAGTGCCTCTATTTTTTCATTTTGTCGCAAAATATGTCGAATTTCAGCTGTAATAAATATTTTTTTTTTTAAGTATAAAACAATAAAAATAACCATGAGTATTAATCATATTAAGATTGCAATTTTTGAAATTAGATATACCATTCAGTGCATTCTGAGCGTATCGACGATTAATTGCATTCAAATTCCCTCCTTCATCATCTTTCGAAAATTCTTCGAGAACAGTTAATCTTTCCATCCTTTTCGACAATTTCTTAACAATTGCCTGCGCTTCCATAACCTGACGCGTAAGAGCTTCTAAGTCACGATGAGGCGCATCCGGAGTGTGCTCATCATTTTCTGACTCCTTTTTCTCAGCCTCTGAAATTTTTAAGAATTTTTAAAAAATTTTTTATTGCATTTAAGTTTATTTGGTATTAAGTATACGAATTTTCCCGATGTCAACAGGGAATTTTTATTTTAGGGGCGAAAGCGACTACTTTCGAACCTCTGAATTAAACAAAATCGCAAAAATCATTAGCGTAAAAAGTTCTTAAAAATAAGTACAAAAACTCGACTTCAAAAATCAAGATGTAAACAATTTTCAGTACTAAAAAAAGGCAAATGGAAACTGACAACTCTCGAAATTTTATTTATATTCTTAATGCAAAAATTAATATTTTCTGAATGGCGAATGACATTACAAGAGTTTAGACGCATGAAGACGTTTTGATACAAAACGATGGTAATATCTTTGATGACAAGCACAAGATCGTATATGAGTGTTGTCGATATTGAATGTTGCATTAAATGACGGACCGGTTAGTGAAGAATATTTTTTTTCCCCCCACCCTACGGCATTTATTTTCAAAGAGTGAGAATAAACACGAGCCTTCGTCAAGATTATACATTCGCGTATAGAGAATAAGAGAGAGAGAGAGAGAGAGAGAGAGAGAGAGAGAGAGAGAGTAACCAGAAGCAATTACATTCCGCGAGATCAGATCAGTTATCGACAAAGTGAGTTATAACCGGTTCTTCACAGATAATAATCGACGAATATTATTATAAAGTCTCTCCTCGACGACGTGTATCGATCTTTTTCAGAGATCCTTTAATATGCCTATATCTATATATATTATATTAACGTCCGCTTATCTGGATGTTCTAATCTTTCGAAATATTCTTTTCAGAACCTTTAAATACTCTCGTCGTTTTAATACTTTTGGAAATTTAGGTCGTTCTCGATGGTTTATTTATGATTTGGTGATGTACAACTTTCTATTTCTCTCTCTCTCTCCTTCTTCTTCTCCTCTCTTATTTTGTATTATGATTGATTTGAAAAAATTTGTTACGCTCCGCTTCATTTTACCCTTTTACCAAAAATTCTTCTTCTCAGATTAACAGTTTTTAAGGATTGAACTTCTTTTCTGAAATTTAAATTAGTGAAAAATTAATTCCTCTTAAGTTCTGATCGTTGCAACTAAACAAAAAATATTTACTTCCCGCGTGGAAAGGGAAAAATGGCAAATTCCTAGCTAACTATGGGGCCAAGTTCTGAGCCATACTTTGAAACATTTAAGCACCAAACTTTTAAGCATTCAAAAATTTACCATTTTCAACTAAGGCCAAAATCAATAAACTTTAAAATTTGTATATATTTTGACTATGGTGGAAAATTATAGCGAGAGTCAATATTATAATCGTCGTTTTATTATAATCATCATTTCATTTAAAGAGTGAAGGTCTGAAGTTAGAATCCTGACCCACCGCACGCATCTGTCGATTTGACCATACAGTATACCACTACACTGACAAATTAAACGATGTCCGAGTTCCATATTAATGACCATTACATACACCCGGTGAAATCGTGCAGATTTATGCCCCTCTTTTATAAGTGATCATGTGTGCAGGCTTTAATATCGTGCCAGTAGTTGCGAGCGCAAGGGGGAAATTCACGTGTCTGCGAGGGGTCGCCTTTGAACTTGTTCCTATGTTATTATCATAATAAAGTTTTATACGTTACAGGTTCTCGAAAGCATTATATGTATTTAAAAGAATCAAATATTTTCACCCTCATTCCTGCAGATGTCGGTTGATTTTTCATTGATTTTTCATCCCCTTTGGGTTATTATTTTGACTTTAAGTTTTGCCTGTAAGATATAATTTATATCTTGATCCGAAAAGAGTCCTAATGGCATTATAGTTTTCCCAATAACAAATTGAGACAAAAAACGAATCAAAAGTGTTGCTTCGCAACACTTTTGATTCGTTTTTTGTCTCAATTTGATATCTGCAGAAAAATTGTGATGTGGACTAACTAAAAAAATCCCATTAGTTAGTATCCCAGGCATTGCACTCATCTACTAAAACCTACTATTTACTATTTTTTTTTTACGTTATGCTACTACTATTTGGGTACTTTTTTTTAGATTTCAGCCACTAAAAGCTACTATTTCTGTTTTTCTTAAAATTTACACTACTTTAAATTTGCTAATACTAGAAATCAAAAAACTATTACCAAAAATTATAATCAAATTCTTTAAAACAAATCAATTATTTTCAAAAAATATTCGAAATTCAACTATTTTCAAAATGTAGTATTTTCATAAAATTTTGCAAAAGAACTCAATTATTTAACAAAATTTTTATACAATTCTTCACAATAATTCAATAACCTTCACTAATAATATAACATTTTTCAGGAAAATTCAATTTTTAAAAAAATTTTTTTGATAAAATTCTAATCAAGAATTCAATTATTTTGAAAAATAACAAAATTTTTCAGAGAAATTCAATTCTTTTGAAATATTTTAATAAATTTTTTTTGAAATAATTCAATTATATTCATAAATAATAAAATTCTTCTCAGAAATTTAATTATTTTTGAAAATATTTATAAAAATCTTAGTAACTATTCAATTATTTTCATGAATATTAAAATTCATCGCAGTATTTCAAATTATTTTTAAGGGGCCGTTCAAAAAATACGTAACGCTTTAGGGGGGAGGGGGGGTCAAGCTATTTGTTACGGTCAGCAGAAAAAATGGCGCTAATGTATACAACATTGCGTTACATGGGGGGGGGGTCCAAATTTCCGAAAAATAGCGTTACGTATTTTTTGAACGGCCCCTAATACAATTTTACAGGAATTGCTTAAAAAATGTAATTATTCTTAAAAATTTAATTTCAATTTCGGAAGCGTTCACAAATGATGTCACGCCTTTGGGGGTAGGGGGGGGGGGGGTCTTACTAAACGTGACACAATGTATTTTTCCCATGTGAAATTGCAAAAATTGCGTTACAGGGGAGAGGGAGGGGAGGGGGGGTGAAAATCTCCAAAAATTGCGTGACATCATTTGTGAACGCTCTCTTCTCGAAAAAATCAATTATTTAAAAAAAAAAGTTTTTTTTTTAAATTCTTTGGAAGAATTCAATTATTTTCAAATATTTTAATAAAATTGTTCGAAAGAAATCAATTATTTTATATACAGTTTTGATTTATTTTTTTTTTTTGCAACACTTCAATTTTTCTTTTAGATTTTAATAAAATTCTTTCCAAGAATTCAATTATTTATATAAATAATTCTTCGAAAGAATTCAATTATTAAAGATAAATAATAAAATTATTCCCGAAAATTCCAATTATTTTGAGGCATTTTAATAAAATTCTTTGCAAAATTCAATTATTTTCAAAAATAACAATATATTCATCTTAAGAATTCAATTATTTTTAAAAGTAATAAATTTCTTCTTGGAAATTCAATTATTTAAAAAAATTCTTATAAAATTAAGGCAAAAAATCGTTTTAATAGAATTCTTTGAAAAGTTTAATTATTTTTAAAAATTTTTTGCAATTCAATGATTTTCAATATCTACTATTTTCATAAAATTTCCAAACAGAATTCAATTATTGAAAATTTCTTTTGTGAAAATCTTCGTAAGAATTCAATTCTTTTCGCATGAATAATAAAAATTTTTTAGGAATTGAATTATTTACTATAGAATTTGCATTTAGTCGTAGCAATTCAATTATTTATAAGTTTTTATAAAATTAGTTGTAGGTATTCAATTTATTATCAGAATTAGAAAGAAGTAAATATTTTTGATGAAAATTAGGAAAAAGTTAGGAAAATAAAATATGGAATTTAATTCTTGTCAGTTTTGTGAAGTGTCTTCTATGAGTTTTTTTGGTCGTCAAGTTTAATTTTTTGAATAGCTATTTATTTACTTTTTTACTACTTTTTTTTAGTTTGAAAGGTACTTTTTGCAACTTTTTTAAAATTAATTATCGAGCACGAAGTCTGCTATCCTTTTCTTTCTATAATGGAATTTTTTAGTTATAGTCTAAATGCTTTCATCGGGATCCTTTCCGGATCTATTAGGTATAAATTATCTTCGGTTTTTCTGAATTTTTTCAGTAAATTGTTTATGTATCAACTCAATACGCAATATTTTGATCTGTTTTGGGGAAAACTACTCTATTTATTTTAGCAATTTGATCACTAAACCCATTTTTATCAACACTTGTATACGGTTTGTAGTTAAATTTTGACAAATTGAAGAACTGTCAAATACCAGGAGCAGTAGCAACATTTGTATCATTATCATTGAAAATATTCGCAGAAATAGTTGTTGTTAATCCTGCTGTTACTACTTTTGTTCCTTTATTACTACAATCATCTATACATGAAGCTAAAACCGCGCCAACCACTTAATTTTGGAAATTAAATTTTAAAATTAATTATTTTCTTATTAAGCTGTAACTTTTACCTAATTAGCATCCATTAATTTTCAAGATGTTGGTTTAAGAAAAAATATTTAATTTTCAAAATTAAGCGGCTATTGATAAGCTTCATATTATCTAAACTAAATATCAAATGGGGTAGCTGCTCCCATCGTTGGCACTGCGTCCCAATGATTGGCACCCTTACTAATAACAAAGAAATAAATAAAAACATCTTTTACTTATATGATTAAAATTTGGAGCACTTTTTCAAAAATCGAGTATAGAGTTAGTATTTAGTATTTCTTTGTATCTAATGAAAAAAAGGGTGCCAACTTTTTGAGACAGTGAGACAGTCTTGTAAAGATTGCTAAAAATTGCTTTCCAAATTCTAACAGTACATGCAACGTTCTGTTCTCAAATAGATCATTTCGGATATAGAGAAATTGAATATATTTTTTTGTATCCTTTATTTCAAGGGGGAGGGGGAGATCTTTTTTGCTTATTCAATCACTACAAGCACTCATTCTCTCTCTTTCTCTCTCTCTTTGGATTGAAATTCCGCTAGCAAATCGTAGTTGTATTTATACATATAAAAGAGGGAACCTCGTGTAAACCCACGCGTTCAGCTTTCTCGATGACGAGAGAGCAAAATGCCTATTGGAATAGTGAGGGAGTGTGATGGCATTTGCAGTGTGCGTGTCCAAGCTTGTTTCTCTCAATTTCTCGTCTATATGTATGAAAATGCGTGTAAATGTAAGTGTGTGTGTGTCTGTATGGTTATTCCGTCCATGTAGAGTGTTTTGTATGCGTGGCGGCAGCTGGAGTTCTGCGCGTGAGAACTCCGAGGTTCCCTGGTTGCCATCGGCAGTCGGCACCTGTCCTCGTGCTGATTTTCAGGCACCCTTACCCCTCCCCCTTCTTTCTCTCTCTCATTCTCTCTCTCTCTCTTTCTCTCTTTATTCCTCTTGAATATCTCGCCCCAAATCCTCAGGTGTAACATCCACCCTCTTTTTTTTCATAATCAATCCTTCTCCCTTATTCTACTTCGTCCACTTCTTCTTCATCTTCTTCCTCGTTATTCTGAAGATGACCAAAACAACCCCCTTTTGTGGAATCACTTCCTCACTTCTTCTTTTCATGACATTTTGTTATTTATTTTAATAAAGAGAACTGTGGCGGTATTTAGGAAGGAAGGAAGCGTGCAGGGAACGTGGGGGTCGTGTGCGGGTCCTTTTTTGACTTCTTGTTTGATCCTTGGTCCTTGGGAGAGGGATTTTTTTTTGCTTTGGAGTTTTTAGCTTTTTTTTCCCCTAAGAAAGAATTGACGTCAAAATTTCGTCAATTTGACTAGGGGCCATACTTAAATTACATAACGTTTTTTTTTTTGCAATTTTAGACCCCACCCCCCATCTCAAGGAACAAACTTTTACATATAAATTAGCGCCATTTTTATGCTGAGAATAATAAATATCTTGACCCTACCCCATGAAGCGTTGTACGTAATTTAAGTATGTCCCCCATACTCAAATTGACGAAAACATGTCCCACATTTTGACCATTTTTTGATGATTTTTATAATTAACTCATGGTTTGTGATAAATGAAAAACGTTCCAAAATATTCTATCCATTATTTTATCATTTTAATATAACATAAATATATAAGTTTACTACTTTCGGAGTAAATTTTGCTACGTTCAAAGAACATATTTGTAAAAAATTGGTAAAATTTACTTCGAACGTATGGAAAATTTACTCCGAAAGTATAGTAAAAGTTACCAGAAATGCTGAACAAGAAATGTTTTACTATAAAAATACACGCGGAGAAAAATATAAAGTAATAACTTCTACTACTTTTATAGTAAAAAATTTCCAGTTAAGTATTTCTGATAATTTTTACTACTTTTGGAATAAATTTTGCTACGTTCGAAGTAAATTTTACTAATTTTTACAAATATTTACTTCGAATGTAGCAAAATTTACTCCAAAAACAGTAAAAATAAAAAATTATCAGAAATGCTTTACAGGAAATTGTTTACTATAAAAGTAGTAAAAGTTACTATATATTTTTCTCCGTGTAGTAAAAACTACTTAATATTTTTCTTCGTACGCAGTTTTTCTAAGGATATCAAAATTGAAACAAAAAACGAATCAAAATGTTGCTTCGAAACACTTTTTTTCTTTAGTGCGGTTTTAGCGGTTTTTCCCCCTTAAAAAAAAAAAAAATTAGTTCTCCTCTTTTCGGAAAAATTTGCGGTAATGGTTCTCTTTCTCTCTTTTGCCCTTTAAAAAGCGTAAAATAAAAAAGAGGAAAAGATATAGAAGAGGATAAAAGAGAAGAGAGGAGAAAATCCTTCTCTTTCTGCCGATGATTTGGACAATAATGAAAATTGAAGACTCGGTAACGGTTTAGAATGAAGCTTTTGTGAGTATTATGCGAGAAGGTTATTACAGTTACGTGGGCGTGGAAGTATCGAGTAATAGGGTAGTGAGAGCTTTGTCAGCAAGATACTGTTATGTTTTAATTTACATCTTATTGCACAATTTCATGCACCATATGGTCCTGAATTTTGAATCACTTTTTCTTCTTTACTTCTTGTCTTCGTCTATTTCTTCTTTTGCTATTTTTTTTATTTCTATGCGCAGTGGTGTATAGAGAAGAGAATTATATTGTATATAGTGTAACGGTAGTGTTATAAAACTGCTATTATACAATTTCAGATTACTTGAAAGCATTTCGTCATTGCTGAAAAGAAAAAAAGGATTGTTTGTTGTTTATTATTACAGTTTTTCCTAAGGATATCAAATTGAGACAAAAAACGAATCAAAAACATTTCTTCGCAACATTTTTGATTCGTTTTTTGTCTCAATTTGATATCCTTAGGAAAATTGGGTAAAAACACAGGTTCAATGTTATTAGTTTTGTATAAAAAATTTTGTTTCATAAAAAGAATTTTAATTACTTTTTTCCTTATGGAAAAAAAATTTTTTTTTTTTTGAGAAAAAAATAGACGAATTTTTATTTAGCCGAATTGATGTTTGTAATTCCTCTCGATATGGAATTTTTTTTGTAAGTGGCTTATTCACTTTTCTACATTTTTTTCGTAAGCATTTTAATTCAGCCGAATCTTCACACGTAATAAAATTTTCATTTACATAGCTGTATTTTTATTTACTGTAGAATTTTCATTAAAAAGAAAAAAATTTCCTAATAAGTAAATCTAAACTTTTTCCAAATAAATTTCTTAACTGTAAAGTTGAAATTTTATCAAATGAAATTTTTTTTAAACATAATTTTCATGCCGAATTTTCATGATGAATTTCTCCGTACTAGTAGAATTTTCTTTTTTTTATTGTAAATTTTCTACACTTTGGATATTTGAATTAATTTTCAAAACTGCGTTTATAAATATAAGAATATAAATAACAATTATGTAGCATTTTAACATTTAGCAATAAAAATGCAAAATACTTGTTTTTTAATTTAGAAAAAATTTATTTTTGTCATAAAAGGAGAATTCATTTTTTTATTATACTTCTTCTATTAATGAACATTATGGAACACTTATCTCAGCTGTATAGTTTTTTTTAAACTTCTTTTCATTTTTAATAAAAAAGTAATTTGTTTCTAATATTAGCAAAAAAGAATATTGATTTCTTTACAAAGTTGTTTTTCAAATTATGTAAATAATTTTAAAAAACCACTTTTGATTGATGATTATTTAATTTACTTCAATTTGCTCTCTAAATAGGAATTTTTTTTAAAAATTTATAAAGAATCTGATTCTTTTTATCAAAAGCGGTTTATTTCATTATTCAAATGCAATAATTTTTATTTACAGCAAATGGTGTGTTTTACATGAAATAATTTTTATTTACAGCAAATAGGTTTATATTTACATCAAATGATTCTTATTTACAGCAAATAGATTTTTATTTACAACAAACGATTTTCATTTAAATCAAATAATTTTTATTTAAATCAAATAATTTTTATTTAAATCAAATAATTTTTATTAGAATCGAATAATTTTTTTTTTTAATAAATTAAATTAGTATAGGTTTTACTTAAAGTAAGAGGAAGTACTTACTACTTAAGTGATTAAGGAATTACTTTATAATTACATCTAACAATTTTTATTCAAGTCAAATAACTTTTTTTAAAATAAATTAAATTAGTAGGTAAATTAGTAGTAAATGAAAAATAGTAGTAAAATTAGTATGTTTTACCTAAAGTAGAGGAATTACTTACTAAGTAATTAAGTAATTAAGGAATCACTTTATAATTACATCTAATAATTTTTACTTAAGTCAAATAATTTTTGTTACAATTAAATAACTTTTTTTCAATAAATTAAATTAATAGGTAAATTAGTAGTAAATTAGTAGGTTTTACTTAAAGTAGAAGAATTAATTACTACTTAAGTAATTAAGGAATTACTTTATAATTACATCTAATAATTTTTAGTCAAGTCAAATAATTTTTATTACAATTAAATAATTTTTTTTAAATTAATTTAATAAGTAGGTTTTACTTGAAGTAGAGGAATTACTTTACTACTAGAGTGATTAAGGAATTAATTTATAATTACATTAAATAATTTTTATTTAAGTTAAATAATTTTTGTTACAATCAAATAACTTTTTTTTAAATAAATTAAATTAGTAGTAAATTAAAAGTAGTAGTAAATTAGTATAGGTTTTAATTAAAGTAGAGAAATTTCTTTTATAATGGTATTCATTATTTTACATCGTATACTTTATCGCCGTATAATTTTTGAAAGGACTTATGTGCTGATCCTTTGATACAACCACCGTCACAATTACAACCAAACATATTGCATGAGCCTTTGCCACAATAATATCCATCCAATAGTGGAGGTTTGCCGTCGCCACACACCCAAGTGCTACAATAATGCGGATCATTTTCCACAAGGGCGAAACCTTTTTGATAAAGCATTTTTGAAGCTTCTTGGAAATTTTCACATGTTTGAGTTCCATTTATGCGAAATCTTAAATTTGTTTTTGTACAACAATTCCCATTGGCTCGATGCGATGATAATGAAAGTGTTATTAAAACAAACAGTACACTGCACAGTTTCAACATTTTTTTTTCTTCTTTTTACAATTTGTATTAATTTTATATTTATTTCTTTTTTTTTAGAAAAATTTATTTATTTCTCTTTTTTAAGAAATTTATTTATTTCTTTTTTTTTTACTTATTCACTTTTTTTTTGTGAAATTCATAAAATTCTATAAATTTTTGATCTGATTTTACTAGAAAACTTGCTCGTCTTTTATATACTCAAAAACTTGTGTCTAAAAAGAGCAAATATTAATTTAAAAATAAGTTTTTTTTATACTTAACAATAATTTTTTGAAGACAAAAAACAAATTATCGAAACTATTTTTGACAAAGAGATAACGATCGGAATTTTTTTTTTTATTCATCTTTAGCGAAACAGAACTCTCTTTTATTCTTGCGATATGAATTTTAAATTTCTTTTCAATAAAAAGTTTTCTAAAAAATATTTTCAATTGAAAAAGAAAAAAAAAAATACTGAGTCATTGTTATATTATTCACGAGAGAATTTTAAAAAAATTGGTTTTTTTTTTATTGATTAGTGTTTTATATTTAATCAAATTATTTGGAAGATTTTTCTTTTCTGAAATTCTGAAGAAAATTATTATTCGGAAATTTTTTTTATTACTTACAAATTTCTCTGTCTCTAAACTTAAATTTAAATTCAAATTTAAAAACGATCAAATAGACGAAATTGCAAATTAATAAAATAAATTAAATACGGGAAAAAAGTATCATCTGGAACAGATACAAATTTCTCTATATTAGCAAATTTTTTAGTTATTTCAATGAAGACTTTCGCTATTCTAGATAAAAATTTTTTCCGTGAATAAATAAATTAAATTAAATAAGTAAAATAAATATAATAAAATAAAATGTGTAAAATAAATAATTAATATAATATTAAATTTTGTCAGAAATAATTATTATTATTTGTGACAAAATTTAATATTATATTAATTATTTATTTTATTATTTTATTTTATTGCAATAAATAATTTACTTGCCTATTTTTTAATACTTATTGTTGTACTCGACGAAAGGCATTTTTTAAAATAACTACATATTTCTAAATTGAAAAAAAAATTTCCGCCTTTCACCATTTTTCCTCGAGTAATTTAAATAAAAAAAACATCTTATTGGTTAATAAACATAAATTTCAAATATTAAAGTTTACATTGAACTGAATTGAAACCATAAAGATAAAATAAATATCATTCATATATTGATATTGCGAAATAAAAGTATACTTTATTCCAATGGAATATTTTTTTATTAATGTTCTTTTATATTAATTTTAAAAAATATCTAAAAATAAATATTGATATTAAAAGAATAAAAAATGTTTTTTTTTAAATAAATTAAAAATAATTACAGATAATTTATTGTCATTCAAATTCATTTTTTAATCGTTTTTCATTTTTATTTACAAATTTTTTGACGTTAATGTGAGAAAAAAATCATTCGTTTCGTATAAAAATCGAAATTTGACTAAAATTTTCCGACAGTTGAGAAAGATTTTTATTCACTCGTTTAGAAAAAGATAATCCAGTATTCAAAAAAAGAAAAGATGTTGAAATTCTGCTTTTTATTAATTATTGCAACCATTTCGTTGTTACCGCATTTAATTAATGCGGACTGTTGCAGAAAGACAACAATAACTTTTAAGACAAAAGGCAAATTGTGCAGTGAAATATATGGAGCATCGGGTGCTACAAGGCATGAAAAATGGGGAAAGATCGGACATCATTATACTACTTGTGATATGGACATTTGTAACGATGGCAAACCAGTGACGACTGGAACATTTTGTGGCAAAGGACCATGTAATATTATTGGTTGTAATTGCGAAAACGGTTGTTTAGAAGGAACTAAACTTGAATTATTTAAAGAACTAAATAAAGACGAGATTGAATGGGCCAGATATTAATTTGTAAAATTTGCGCCAAAAATGTTTTAATAATACGAATACAATATGTTGTAAACTTGAATTTACCATATTTTTTCTTTCATGTATAAATAAAATAGTATATTTCTTTTTTCGAACAAATTTTGCATTTAACTCATTCAATTAATTTTTTTTTCATTCAATTTATTTATAATTTCTTTTCTGAAATTCTGATAATTATTAATCGGAAATTTTTTTTTATTACTTAAAAATTCCTCTGTCTCTAAACAGATAATCGATCAAATAGACGAAATTCCAAATAAATAAAATTAATAAATGTGAAAAATAATATAATAAATAATTAACATAAAAAACCAAAATTTAGTTACAAGACAAAATTTGACAAAAAATAATTATTTGCAATTATACTTGTCTATTTTTTAACAATACTTATTGTTGTACTCGACGACAACCAATTTTTTAACTAACTATTTCTGAACTTAAAAAAAATTCCCGCCTTTTATTATTTTTCTTCGAGTAATAAAATTTATAAAAAAAAAATATCTTATTTGCTAATAAATATAAATTTTGAATGTCAAAGTTTTACATTGAACTGAATTGAAACAATAGGGATAAAATAAATACCCCATTCATATTGATAATGTGAAATAAAAGAATACTTTATTCCAATGGAATTTTTTTTTTATTAATGTTCCTTTATATTAACTTAAAAATATCTAGAAGTAAATATTGATATATTAAAGAATAAAAAATCTTTTGGGATATCCATCTTCTGTTAAAAAGAAATTAAAACTAATTATAGATAATTTCTTTGTCATTCAAATTCATTTTTTAATCGTTTTTCGTTTTTATTTACAAGTTTTGGTCGTTAATGTGGGGAAAAATATCGTTTGCTTGGTATAAAAATCAAAATTTGACTAAAATTTAACGACAGTTGTGAAAGATTCTTACACTTGTTTAAGAAAATACAATCGAGTGTTGAAAGAAAGAAAGAAAAAAAGAAAAGAAAGGAAAAATGTTGAAATTGTGTTTTTTATTAACTATCGCAACATTTTCGTTGTTTCCGCATTTAATTAATGCGGACTGTTGCAGAACGACGACAATAACTTTTAAGACAAAAGGCAAATTATGCACTGAAATATATGGAGCATCGCGTGCTACAAAAAATGAAAAATGGTGGCGAATAGGACATTATAGAACTATTTGTGATATGGATATTTGTAACGATGGCAAACCAGTGACGGATGGGAAATTTTGTGGCAATGGACCATGTAATATTTTTGGTTGCAATTGCGAAGGTGGTTGCTTGGAGGGAACCAAACTTGAATTATTTAAAGAACTAAATAAAGACGAGATTGAATGGGCCAGATATTATGATTTGTAAAATTTGCGCCAAAATTTAATTTTATTAAATTATTATTAATTAATTAATTAATTATTATTGTTATTAATTTTATTATTTCACAAATACAATTTGTACTTTAATTTACCATAAAATAAAATAGTATATTTCTTTCTTCGAACAAAATGTTTATTTAATTTAAGTCTTTTAAATAATTTTTTTTGTCATTCATTTCATTCGCTTATTAATTTTATTCATTCAATTTATTTAAATAGTTGACTCAATTCATTTATTTGTTTAATTCATTAATTTATTCTTGTAATTAATTGATTTTATTGATTTTATTAATTTTATTAATTTAACAGATGTTCCTCATGTTTTGAATGTTCAAATGAAGGAAATCTTTTTTATTAAAAATATTTTCAAAAATTACTCAGTGCAATGAAAATTAAAAAATTTTAATTTAACATCTAGAAACTATAAAATTTATTTTATTATAGTAACGCAAAATTATTGTAGTAAAAATTGTATTTAAAGAACAAGAAGAAGAATTTTATTTGAATAAAATAAATAATTTCGTTCATTTAAACATTCAGAATTTTACTAATTTTTAACATGAAAAAATTTTTTTAGCTGAAACAGGTACATATTTCACTATAATAACGAAATTTTTTAGTTCTTTCAATTATTACTTTCTTTACTTTAGAGAAACTTATTGCTATGTCAGGTGAAGCTTTTTCTTTGTGAATTAATTTGTTTAAATAATTAACGCAATGAACTTATTCTCTTTATTAATTCATTTATTTATTTAATAAATTAATTCGCATTAAGTAAAAAGTGGAAACAATTTTTGTTTAAATTTATAGTTTATTAAAGAATTTTTTATCCCGAAAAATTTTAGTACAATAATTGTACTAAAATTCTTGTTATATTTATAATAAATTTTTGGTTGAAATTATTTTTAAAGAGACATATAGAATATTAAACAAATTATAATAAAATAAAAAAGTGTATTTAGAAAGTCGACAATATTTTTTAAAAATTAAAATATATTTAAATTATTCCAATCGATTTTTCATTGTATTTTTATTTTTCACTTTTATTATTGACTTTATTAATTATATTTGTTATTTGATTTTTATTTATTTACAACTTATTTAATCATAAAAGTAATTGTTTTCAATTTAAAATTATGAATTTAACACAAATCGATCGTTTTTAATTAAAAAGTAATAATAATGAGTAAATAAATAATAATAATAATAAATAAGAAAAAACAATAAAAACATAAATAAATAATAATATAAATAATAATAATAATAATAATAATATTAAAGGTGAAAGATAATAATAATAATAATAATAATAATAATAATAATAATAATAATTATATCAATGACAGTAACAATTAATTAATTAATTGAATATTGTTTAACTATAGGGGAATGTAGTCAAGGTTGGCCTACTGTCTAGGTAGGCCACTCGCGTTTTTTTGTCAAGTTCACTAGCGCCACCTACGCGCATTTTTGTCGAAGCTTGTCTTAGTGAAACCTAACTTTTTGTTCAATTACATTTTCGGAAAATCGAAAATTGTGTTTTCTGTGACGTCGGTACAAAAAAAGCTCAAAAAAAGTTTTGTGCATAATGTGAAAAACCATTAATAAAAGATAAAAAACAAATTGAATCGTCAAGGCAAGTATGCAGAAAATTTGTGGGACTCATGGTTGAAAGGAAAACAAAGTAAAAAATCGAATCCCGAAACGTATTTCTTTATGGTTACAACAATTCGGTAATGTTACTTACTGTCAAGGTCGGCCACTATGTGTTTAAAATGCGCAAAGTTGAGGACGAGCTACTTCATTTGCAAAAACTGCAATTCTGTATAACTCATAATATAATTGATCATCTTATTAATATTTTTATTTAATTTTATTAATATTTTAGTGCAAAACTTTTTTTTATTTATATTTATTTTTTTATATTGTTTATTGTTATTATTTTGTTATTTCATTAAGTTACAAACTGTAAACAATAAAGAATCAATTTTCCGTAACTCCAAACATGTTATTTTATTTTTTAACGATTAATGCCCTTTGAATTTTAAACATGGCCGACCTTGACTGTAATGGCCAACCTGGACTACAAATTTTTTTTTTTTTAAATCTTTATAACTTTTTCATTTTTAAACCTGTCAATTTACTTTGTACAGAAAAAATGTTCCTATTAAACAGGACTTTCCAACCATATACTTCAATTGTCCAAATTCATTTTTAAAAAAAAGTTATAAACAAAAGTCAAAAAGGTGGCCGACCTAGACTATGTTCCCCTACATATCTAGTTCACTGACTATTTAATTATTTTCAATTTTCAAAGTGGAAAATTTTTATAGATAAAAATATCATTTCTCAATCATATTCTATATAAAAAAAATTTATTTGATCAACAGTCAATGAAAATTATAAAAAAAAATTAAATTTAAATTCAATTAAATTAACACCCAAATGAATAATTCATAAAATTTATCTTCTTACGTTCGGAAGATTTACAAGAAAAGCTATAAAAAAAAATCATTTTTGAAATATATTCCAAAAAACAATTCACTAATTATTAATTATTATTATTATTACTATTATTATAAATTATTCTTTGTAACTTTTAACATCTGTTTATTTATGATGACTAGATAATACAAAAATTAAAGTAATCAAGTAATTAAAAGAATTAAAAAAATTATTACTCATTATAAATTATTATTGTTAGTACTATTTTTATAATTGGCATTATTTGCCAATTATATAATCATTATTTGCCAATCTAATATTTAATAAAACTATATTTTCATTAAGCCAATATTTAATAAAGCATATAAACAATTTGAATTAAAATATTTCTTCAAATTAAATACTTTTCCTACTATATAATTTCGAGTAAACAATTTTTCTCATTTTCATACAAATTTCTTTATTGTTTAAAAAATCCGTTGACAAAATTTTTCTGTTGACTAAAAATTCATTAATATAAAATAAAAAAATGACAGTAACAGTCATTTTTATTTAGAATAAATTATTTTATTTCCATTTAGCAGAATTTTTAATTTTTTATAATATTCCTTAATTAAAAATTTCTTTTTGAAAATAAAAAAATTAGATGAATTTCCGCATTTAATACTATTTTTCAGTAATTAAAAATTTCTTTAAATTTATTTTTTGAGAAATTTTTCAACCAGAAAAAAATTTTTTTTCTGAATGCCCATTTTAGAATTTCTACTTTACAATTCACATTTCAGACAATTTCTACACTAAAAGAAAATTCTCTATTTATAATTATTTTCCAATTATCATAGTGAAAAATTTTTATAGATAAAAAAATCATTTTTCAATCATATTCTTTCTAAAAAAATATTGTATTTGATCGATTGACGATTGAAATTTGAAAAAAATGAAATTTAAATTCAATTAAATTATAAGAGCCAAATAAATAATTCATGAAATTTATCTTCCTATATTAGGAAGATTTACAAGAAAAACTATAAAAAAATCATTTTTGAAATATATCCAAAAAAAAAGCAATGTACCATTTGCTTTATTGTCGATTACAATTAGAAAATTCAAATTAATTTAAATTAAGTTCTAAATTCATAATTCATAGAATTTATCTCCTTATTAACACGCAAGATTTATATATATATATATATAAAAGAAAAAAAAAGTTCAATTGCTCCATTCAAGTAATTATTCTACAGTAATACAAAAGAACAGAAACAATAATTTTAAGAAATAAAAATGTTGAAACTCTATTTTTTAATATTTATTAAAGTAGTTTCACTATTTCCGCAGTTGATTAGAGCGGAATGTTGTTTAACAACGACAATATCGTTTAGATCTTTAGAAAGAAATTGCCTGGATTTTGGAGGATTTAATGCTGTAAGACCAAGCCAATGGACTGAGGATAATTTTCTTCGATTACTGTGTAAAATTGATATTTGTGACGATGGAAGACCAGTAACTGAAGGTGCATATTGTGGCAATGGTCCTTGTAATATTTTTGGTTGTAATTGTGACAATGGTTGTCGAAAAGGGGAAAATCAATTAGAATTATTTAAAGACATTTATAAATCTGATATTAAATGGGCCAATTATTAGTTAATATATTTTTTATAGCCAAGACAAAATTTGTTGTTATTTTTATCACCTTTATTATCATTATTATAACTATTATTATAAATTAGTTCTATTCTTATTATTTTTATATTACTGTTAATGTATTAATATAATTAATACATTAATTATATTAATAATTAATATTAGTTATATTATCACTATTATTATAATTGGTATAATTCTTAGCTAATATTTAATAAATGAATATTTGAAATGAATTTTGAAAATTCAAATTAAATACTTTTCCTCTTCTTTAATTTTGAATAAACAATTTTATTCATTTCCATACAAATACATTTCCATTTTCTGATTGTTTAAAAATTCCGTTGAAAAAAATTCTTCTCTTGAATAAAAACTCATTAATATAAAATAAAAAAAAAATGACAGTAATAAAAAGTTAATTTTCTACCATTCTTGTCACTGATAATAAAAAATGGTGTATGTATATCTACATTCGTTTTTAATTGAATAAATGAAAGAAAAATCAAAAATAATTTTCTACTAAGTACCTTATTTTACATTGTAATTTCCCTGAAATTGAAACAGTCTATTTAAAAAGAATAATAAATAATCAAATGCATATTTTAGTTTTGCTTTCTTATGGGAGTTTTTTTTTAATAGATTGTAAGTTTAGCAACATTTTTTTCCGCCAAGTTCTTCATAATGTAAAAATTTTGTTTTCAAAATAAAATTTCCTTATTAGTAAATAATATAATATAATATTATAAATATAATATAATTAATATAATAATATAATATTATAATATAATATTATAATATAAAAATTATAAAAATTAATATAAAACAGAATATAGACCAAATAAAATATAAAAACAGAAAAACAAAAAGTGACAAAAAGGATAAAAATCATAATAATAAATAAAATGGGGTAATGACAATAGAGAAATTAAGCTAATTAGTAAAATTGAAAACGAAACTAACAAATAAATGAAAATAAAAGGAAAAATAGTAAATAAAATTATGAAAAAACATATACCTAGGAAATGGAAATTATCCATTATTAATAATTAAATAAATAAGAACAGCACTAAAATATTGAATAAATTTAAATATTATATGCTGTTAACTAAAATGGAAAAACTATAACTTAAAGTTCCAGAATTTTTATTTTTGTAAAATTTTCCTCAAATAAAAATTTCTTTTTGTTAATAAAAAAATTAGATGGATTTTCTTTATGCCAGAATTTTTGACAGGCTATAATTTTCAACTTAGGGGAATTTCTGCTTTTAATACTATTTTTTACTTTTTAGTAATTAAAAATTCCATAATTCTAAAGTTCCGAAAGTTCAAATGAACGAAATTTATTTATTTCATCTTGAAATTAAAATTTTATTACAATAATTTTGCACTGCTATAAAAAAAATTAACTATAAAGTTTTTAAATGTAAAATTTATGTTGTTAATTTTTATAGTAACCAGTAATTTAACAAAATATTAAAAAAAAAAAAAAATATTTCATTCATTTGAACGTTCAAAACTTGTGAATCATAAAATTTCTTTAAAATAATTTTTCGAAAAATTTTTCAACCATAAAAGAAATCATTTCTTAATCATTTTCTTTCTAAAAAAAAAATATTGTATTTGATCGATTGCCGATTAAAAATTGAAAAAAATGAAATTGAAATGCAATTAAATTAAGAGACAAATAAATAATTCATGAAATTTATCTTCTCCTACATTAGGAAGATTTACAAGAAAAACTTTAAAAAAATCATTTTTGAAATATATTCAGAAAAAAAACAATGTTACCATTTGCTTTATTGTCGATTAAAATTAAAAAATTCAAATTAATTTAAATTAAGTTCTAAATTCATAATTCATAGAATTTATCTCCTTATTAACACGCAAGATTTATATATATATATAAAAGAAAAAAAATTCAATTGCTCCATTCAAGTAATTATTCTACAGTAATACAAAAGGACAGGAACAATAATTTTGAAAAATAAAAATGTTGAAACTCTATTTTTTACTATTTATTGGAACACTTTCACTATTTCCGCAGTTGATTAGAGCGGAATGTTGTTTAACAACGCCAATAACGTTCAGATCTTTAAAAAAAAATTGCAAGGAATTTGGAGGATTTAATGCTGTAAATCCAAGGCAATGGACTAAAGATAATTTATTACGATTACTGTGTAAAATTTATATTTGTGACGATGGAAGACCAGTAACTGAAGGTGTTTATTGTGCCAATGGACCTTGTAATATTTTTGGTTGTAATTGTGACAATGGTTGTCGAAAAGGGGAAAATCAATTAGAATTATTCAAAGACATTTATAAATCTGAAATTGAATGGGCCAATTATTAGTTAATATATTTTTTATAGCCACGGCAAAATTTGTTGTTATTTTTATCATACCTTTATTATCATTATTATTATAAATTAGTTATATTCTTATTATTTTTTATTACTATTAATGTATTAATATAATTATTATTATCACCATTATTATAATTGGTATAATTCTTAGCTAATATTTAATAAAGCATGAACAATTTGAATTAAAAATCTTCTTCAAATTAAAAAAATTTTCCTCTTATTTAATTTCAAATAAACAATTTTATTCATTTCCATACAAATTTTTTCATTGTTTAAAATTTCCGTTGAAAAAAATTCTGTTAAATAAAAATTCTAAAAATTTTTACTAATGTAAAATAAAAAAAATGACAGTAAAAAAAAATTTAATTTCCTACCATTCTTGTCACTTGATAATAAAGAATGATGTATTTATATCTACATTCGTTTTTAATTGAATAAATGAAAGAAAAATCAAAAATAATTTTCTACTAAGTACCTTATTTTAGATTGTAAATTCACTGAAATTGAAACAGTCTATTTAAAAAAAGTAATAAATATCAAATTCATATTATAGTTTTTCTTTCTTATGGGAGTTTTTTTTTAAAAAGAATGTAAATTTAGCTAAATTTTTTTATCGCTAAATTCTTCATAATGTAAGAATTTTGTTTTCAAAATAAAATTACCTTATCAGTAAATAATATAATATAATATAATATAATATAATATAATATAATATAATATAATATAATATAATATAATATAATATAATATAATATAATATAATATAATATAATATAATATAATATAAAAATTATAGAAATTATAAAAATGAATATAATACAAAATATAGACAAAATAAAATATTAAAACAGAAAAAAACCAAAGCAATACAACATTGAAGGAAAAAGTAAATTGAAAACATGAAAACAAAATGTGACAAAGGATAAAAATGATAATTATAAATAAAATGTGATAATGACAATAGAGAAATTAAGCTAATTAATAAAATGAAGTAAATATTTTTTATTAAGAATATTTTCAAAAATTACCTACTAATTGTAAGTGCAATAAAAATTTAAAATACAAATTTAACAAAACAATAAAATTTATTTTTCTTATAGTAACGCAAAATTATTTTAATTAAAAATTTTATTTGAAAAAGAAGAATATTTATTTTGAATTAAATAAATTAATTGCTTTCATTTAAATATTCAGAACTTTACTAATTTTTAACACGAAAAAAAAATTTGTTAGCTTAACTATAACAAATAATTAATTAATTATTAACAATATTAAAATATTGTTTAACTATATCTAGTTCATTGACTATTTAATTAGTTTCCAATTTATATCTAAAAATAATATTCTATTTGATCGATTGTCGATCAAAATAAAAAAAAAATGAAATTTAAATTCAATTAAATTAAGACCCTAATAAATAATTCATAAAATTTATCTCCCTGCATTCAAAAGATATACAAGAAAAATTGTAGAAAAATAATTTTTGAAATATATTCCAAAAACAGTTGACTTATTTGCTACATTGTCGACTAAAATTAGAAGATCCAAAGTAATTTAAATTAATTTGTTAATATAATTAATCGAACAAAATTAAAAAAAAAATGAAATTTAAATTCAATTAAATTAAGACCCTAATAAATCATTCATAAAATTTATTTTCTTACATTCGGAGATTTACAAGAACAATCATAAAAAAATCATTTTTGAAATATATTCTAAAAACAATTGACCTTTTTGCTACATTGTCGACTAAAATTAGAAGATTCAAATTAATTCAAATTAATTTGTTAATATAATTAATCGATCAAAATTAAAAAAAAGAAATTTAAATTCAATTCAATTAAGACCCTAATAAATAAAGCATAAAATTTATCTCCCTACATTCGGAAGATTTACAAGAAAAATCGTAAAAATATCATTTTTGAAATATATTCAAAAAAACAATTAACCTATTTGCTACAATGTCAATTAAAATTAGAAAATTCAAATTAATTTAAATTAAGTTCTAAATTCATAATTCATAGAATTTTTCTCCGAATTAACACTCCAGATTCATGTATATAAAAGAAAGAGTTCAGATGCACCATTCAAGTAATTATTGTTGTATAGTAATCAAAGAAAGGACAGAAACAATAATTTTGGAAAAGAAAAATGTTGAAATTCTATTTTTTACTATTTATTGGAATACTTTCATTATTTCCGCAGTTTATTAGAGGGGAATGTTGTTTTACAACGACAATAACATTCAGATCTTTAAAAAAAAATTGCAAGGAATTTGGAGGATTTAATGATGTAATACCAAACACATGGAGTAATAATAGTGTTCTTCGATTACAGTGTAAAATTAATATTTGTGACGATGGAAAACCAGTAACGGAAGGTGTATATTGTGGCAATGGTCCTTGTAATATTTTTGGTTGTAATTGTGACAATGGTTGTCGTAAAGGTGAAGATCGATTACAATTATTTAACAACATTTATAAAAATGATATTAAATTGACCTATTATTAGTTTAAACATTGTTTATAGACAAAACAAAATTTGTTGTTATTAAAAAATTTCTTCAAATTAAATACTTTTCCGACTGTTTAATTTCGAATAAACAATTTTATTAATTTCCATATAAATTTTTTCATTGTTTAAAAATTCCATTGAAAATAATTCTTCTGTTTAATTAAAATTCATTGAATATAAAATAAAAAAATGACAGTAATAAAAAGTTAATTTTCTACCATTTTTATTCCTTGTGTTAATAAAAATTGATGTATTTATATATCTATATTCGTATTTAATTGAATAAATGAAAGAAAAATGAGAAATATTTTTCTACTAAGTAATTTTACATTGTTAGTTCTAATTATAAAAAAAATTATTTTTTATTTAAAAGAAATTGGTTAATATAGTTTTTTTTTCCTTATGGAAGTTTTAGTTAATAGAATTTAAGTTTAGCAAAATTTTTTTCTTTGGCGAAATTCTTCATAATGTAAGAATTTTTTTTTCAAAATCAAATTTTCTTCAGTAAATAATATTTTATATAATAGTATAATATTATTAGTATAAAATATAAAAATCAATATAATACAAAATATAAACAAAATAAAATATAACAAAATATAACAAATTGTGACTTATTAATAACAAATGAATGAAAATTAAAAAAAAAGTGAAAATGTAAGGAAAAAATAGTAAATAAAATTATGAAAAAACATACCTAGGGGAAGAGAATAATCCATTATTAATAATTAAATAAGGAACGCACTAAAATATTGAATATATTAAAACATATGTGTTAACTGAGAAGGATAAATTTAAACTAAAATCCAATCACCAACAATTTCTTGCAAACGTTATTAAAAGATAAACAAAACGGAAACAAAACAAAAGTAAGAAAATAAGAAATAGAGAAAAGAAAATGATAAGTATTTTTCTACTATAAAATTATTTGTGGAGAAATTTGAAATTATTTTATGATTTATTAAACGAATGTAATTTTATTTTATTTACTATTTTATTTAGTAAATTTATGATTTTATTTATTTATTTAGAATATTTATTGTACAATAATTTTTATTGTCTTTCAATAGAATTTTCTTTTCTATTTAGCATAATTATTTTATTTCCATTTATCAGAATTTTTAATTTTGTAAAATTTCCTTCGAAATTAAACATTTTTTTGTCAATAAAAAAATTAGATGAATATATGACAAATACGACAAAATTCTCATTATAATCGAATTTTCACAAAAACAAATTTTTAAGTGCCTATAATTTTTAACTTTGGAGAATTTCCGCATTTAATACTATTTTTAGAAATTAAAAATTTTTTAAAACAAATTTTTTAACAAAAAATTTTTTATTTTTTTCTGCATTCCGATTTTAGAACTATTTGCTTTCGAGTTTTGAATTAGTGTATTTTACTAATAAATTACTAAAAATCACTATTTAATATAATCACTATTTAATTCATTCATTTTACTAAATGAGTTTTCGTACAGCATTCCGCATTAATTTCATACGAAAATAATGAAATTAAAACAATTAAACAACACAATTTCAACATTTTTCCGCAATATTTTTTTCTTTCCTTTTTTATATTTGCAACAAAAATTCCCTCAAATAGAATTTATATTTAGAAAAAAATTTTCTTTGAAGTAGAATTAATTGATTTTGATTTCAAGCAAAATTTGTACGATTTTCGTTGAACGGATGTTGGGGGGGGGGGGATTAAATTTTATTTTAAGGCAAAGAAGATTTTTGTAAAATTACATAGAATTTTATTTGACATGTAAATTAGAAATTACATTTTTTTATTTAACATAAATTAAAATTTGTACAATTTTTATTTAACATACAAATGAAAATTACATAATATTATTTAACATGAAGATTAAAGTTGCATAATTATATAGAAATAATTAATAATAATTGTAATTAAAATTGTAATTCGAAATATAATAATGATATTCTCTCTAAATTTGAATTAGTAAAAATGTTTGCTAATTTGAATTTTGAATTATTAACTATGACTATTTGCTTTTGAGTTTTGAATTAGTGTATTTTACTAATAAATTACTAAAAATCACTATTTAATATTTATTAATAATATTTTCTAATTCAAAGGCAAAAAAAGTCAGTCACTATTTTTAATTATTAAACATTTTTACTAATTTTTAATTTAGAGAGTTATTATTGTTATTAGAATTGTAAATATAATTATAATATTAATTAGTATTAATTAATAATTGCATGTATACTTAGAATATTTTTTCAAAATTTTCAATTTAGAGTAAAATTGTTTTTTACATTTTACGTGTAAAATTGTGCTTATCTGATGTCATGTACTTTATCTCCGTGTAATGCTTTAAACGTATCATGTGGTACACCTTTAATGCAATCACAATTGCAACCAAATATATTACAATTGTCTATGCCACAGTAGGTTCCACTGCTTGGATGTTTGCCATCGCCACACACCCAGATACTGCAATAATGCGAATTATCAAAATTAAGAGAGAATCCTCTTTGGTAGCCCATGTTTGAAGCACCATAAAAATCGCCACATGTTCCAGGTTTCTTCACTCCAAATACTAAATGAGTTTTCGTACAGCAGTCCGCATTAATTTCATACGAAAATAATGAAATTAAAACAATTAAACAACACAATTTCAACATTTTTCCGCAATGTTTTTTTCTTTCCTTTTTTATATTTGCAACTTTTGTACAATAAATTTCAAAATTTTGTAAAGTAACTTTTTGTATTAGTAACTTTTGTATAGTAAACTTTAAAATGATTTTGAAATAGTTTTAAACTGTATTGATATGTCATGTTGCACTAAAAGAGTTTCGAGGCTTATATACTAAAAAAATCTGTGTAAAATTAAAAATCTGATTAATTCACAAAATGACGTATTCGATACAATTGCAAAAATGATAAAATTTATTTAATTCTTCCCTGAATGTAAATAATAGAAACTGAAAAGTTATGATTAATTCAAAAGTGACGTATTTTTTATACCTTTGACATAATACAAAGATTTGTTTTTCAAATAGAAGAATTAAAGAATCGATTTATTAAAAAATGACGTATTTTTTAGAAAAAGACTTTTTCTTTTTAATTTTCTTCTGTAAATCTTTTCGATAAAAGAGATTAAATTTACATTTTTTTATCTTATTCTTTCTCCTCTTAAAACAGATCTCTATTACGTGAATAAAAATAAGTTTTTTCTATCTCAATAATAAAAGATAATTAATTCTTTTATAAAAAACCTTATTTATTTACTAATTTCCTTTATTCGGTTAATTCTTTAAATTTTGTGTGAAACGTTATGAATTTTTATTACTTATTCTTTTATTGATATAATTATTTCATTCCATTGAATAGTAGAAGAAAAAAATATTTTTGAAATTTTTAACTCTCCGTCACACACCCAGTGTATGTAACGGATTATTTTCAAATATAAATTTTTTAAATAATTTCATAATAAAAATTTTTAAAATTTACGTATTGAGTACAAAATTAATTATTACTGTTCATATTTTTAAAAATTTTAAGAAAATTTCACGAAAGAATTCAATTATTTTCTAAAATTTTAATAAATCCTTCTAAACAATTCAATTATTTTTTAAAGTCAAATCTACCAAAATTCAATTATTTCCAAAACAATTTTAATTGAATTCCTCGGAATAATTCAATTTTTAAAAAAATTTTAACACATTTCAATTAAATTCAATTTTTTTCTAAAATTTTAATAAATCCTTCGAAAAAATTCAATTATTTTTATAAATAGTAAAATTCTTCGCAAGAATTCAATTAATTTTATAAATAGTAAAATTCTTTGCAGGGATTCAATTATTTTCAAAATAATTTTAATTGAATTCCTCGGATGAATTCAAATATTTTAAAATATTTCCATAAATTTCAATTATTTTCTTAAATTTTAATAAATTCTTCGAAACAATTCAAATTTTTTTATAAATACATACTAAAATTCTTTACAGGAAATAAATTATTTTTAATCAAATTTAAATAAAATTACATGAAAGAATTTAATTATTTTCAAAATTTTCCATAAAATTCAATTTCAACAAGAATTTAAAATTCTCTAAAAATAATTCAATTATTCTCAAAATATTTTTAAAAAATTCTTTAAAAAAATTAAATTACTTTCAATGTAATTTTTAAATATATTCGTCAAAAAAATTGAAAGAATTCAATTATTTTCAAAAAATAATAAAATTTTTGTGATGAATTCAATTATTTTGAATATACTTAATTTTAATAAAATTCTTTAAAGAAATTCCATTATTTTCGAAACAACTTTAATTTGAATTTCTCGAAAAAATTTCATTATTCTCAAATATTTCTATAAAATTCTTCATAACAATTTAATTATTTCTCAAAATTTTAATAAATTCTTCGAAACATTTCAATTATTTTTATAAATAGTAAAATTCTTCACAATAATTCAATTATTTTTATAAATAGTAAAATCCTTTGCAGGAATTCAATTATTTTTAAAACAATTTTCATTGAATTCCTTGGAGAAAGAAACTCCATTAGTTATAAAGAATTGAAAGAATTTCTTCAAAAGAATTTAATTAGGATTTTAAAAAATTTTAATAAAATTCTTTGCGAGAATTCAATTATTTTTCTAAATAATAAAATTCTTTGAAGGAATTTTTTATTATCAAATTTTTTGATAAAATTCTTTGCAACAATTCGATGATTTTCAATATATTAATTTTAAAATTAAAAATATTTGAAGAGAAAAATTATAAAAAAGTTAAGAAACAAAAAAACAAACAACAACTAACTTCAAACTGCGAACAGATTACCGGAACATGTACTTTATTATTATTAATAACTAATAATTAATTAATAATAATTAATAATTAATGTTATAATTATTTTTATTTTATAATTAATTCAAAATTGTAATGACAAATAGAAATCATCAGAATTTTTTCACTTTTTTTCATTAAAAGACTAAAATTTTGTTAAATATTATGTTTAGTCAAATTGAAATTATGCAGATTTTTGTTTTTTACTTCTGAACAACATTAGAAAATTGTTAAACAACTGTGATTAAGAAATAGAAAATTTATTTATTTTACATTATTTTTGTTTATAAATCATAATTTTTTTAAGAAAATTATTATTTTGTTTTAGAAAAAGAAGAAAAATATTTGCACAATTCCTATTTTTAATCTTATTTTTGCAATAGGATTTTCCAGAGGAATTAAGACATTCAAAAATTTCAAATTCAAACCTTTTTTAAATTAAACAACTTATAAAAGTATTGTTATAAAACATGAAGTTATCGATTGCTCTGAGTCGAAGACTCGGAGTCATCGATTTCTTCATGTTTTCTAATAATTAAAGATGACCAACTAATAAAATCATTATTTTATATCATAAGAATATTGTTACTGTAACTTCATCAAAATTATTTTCATCATTTTAATTCAATTATTATTTTCTATAATTTTAAATTATTTTTTACGAAAATAATAATTGAATTCCTTAAAAAAAATTTTATTATTTATGAAAATAGTTAAATGTTTGCATATAATTTTCTTAGTTTTTTTTTAAATAATTGAATTCATTTTCGGAAATTTTACTAAAATAGTAGATATTGAAAATCATTGAAATTAGAAAAATGCATTTTATTTTTTTAAAAATAATTGAAATTAGGACAAGAATTTTTTTGACATTTTATGAAAATAATTGAACTTTGGAGGAGAATTTTGTTATTTATAAAGATAATTGGTATTTTTACGAGAATTTGTTTTAATTTTTGAACATAGTTGAATTTTACAAGATAAATTTTATTTTTTTTTT